ATGCCATTTAGTCAAGTAGGTACGAGGTGCGTGTGCGAACTAGCCGGGGCGCTCGAGTGGCAATCAGCAAATTTTTTGCAGAACGGTTAACTTTCCGACAAAGGCGAGGTCTGGACAACTTATCTTTCTTGGCAGAAAGTTACCTCGGAGATCACACCCGGAGAACAAGAGAAATATACAGTCAGGAGCCAACAGCGGGTCCCTGCGCCAGACAAAAGGCCACCCCCGACCCGCCAGGCCGGGGCCCGGGCCACATTGTGCGCTTTCGGGCTGCAGCCTGCAGCTCGGTGCTCGGCCCGTGTACGGCTGCACTTCTGGCACGGACTAAAATCTTTCTGCCAAGACAAGTTGTCTACCGTGGGTTGCATACTTACAGGGGTTATGTGGCAAAAATTGCCTGCCTTTCAGGCGGCTATCACTAGGGGATCGACCCTTTCCCTATACCGCGCGTGGCCCAGAGGCCTTGGCTTCGCGATACAAGTTCAGTTGGCTCTGGGAGGCTCCAGTTTGCTATGGACAGCAGGTAATCGTTAAGCCCTCATAAAAGTTAGACAACCGCACGGGACTGTTTGTAAGTAATTAATTGGGGTGGGGGAGCGGTGAACCCGCGACGAACTTATGACTGGTTAACAGGAAGGGTTTTAGGGGGAGTCGGGTGGAGATCCCCCCCTCCCCTCTGTCAGCCCTGTAGGGCTTCTTATAAGAAGCCGCTTAAAATAAGGTAGGCAATTTCTCTAGAAAACCCCTGTTGGTTGCCCCCTATAACTCCCCCCTCCCCACAAGTAGGCGAGGAGCCAGCAGCGGACGCGGATGTTCTCACGCGCGTCGTCTTCGTCTCTTATGAGAGGTGAGTAAGACCACGATATGGTCATGTCTTCTTGGTGTTCTTTTCTGTAGGTCAAGGGGACAGAGAAGGGCGCGAAAAGGATTCAGTGTTTGTGTGATGACCCGTGAATGAGGACCCAGAGGCGAGGCCACACTGTGGCCACGCAGTGGGACCTGGGACCTACGGCCATGATGACGATAAGAGGCGCGATAAGGGGGCGATGCACGCCGAACAGGGCTTGGCCACCATATGGCCATGCCGTCTCACAGCGGACCCGCGGCCAAACAATCCTGCGTGGTGTGACATCTGGTTGACGGGAAGAAGGGACAGCGTGGACACACTGTGCAAACGCCTGCCTACGCACGCAGCCCGACGAGACCATATTGTGGCCACACCTTCTGTGGCGCGATTGTCACATCGTGGCCCTTCGACGACTAAGTGACGGTCCCCTCAGCAGACACGACGGCACTTTTGCTGGAGAGCCCCGTGCCGTGGCGGACGACATGGCCATGGCCATTCCATCTGTTCACGACACATTCAATTCCGAAAATGGCTCGCCCTAGCAGGCTTAGAGGGCTGCTAAACTGTTAACGTGCTAACAGTTTACTGACACTCCCTCTTCTTTACAACTTCCAGCCCCCACGATTGGGGAGTGGGGAGTCGCCTGCGCGCCTGCACCGGCTCGGCTCGGCTCACGGCACCGCTCGGCTCGGCTCGGCTCGACCCTCCCAACATCAACAAAACGACATAACCTCAAATGCTAGACGTAAAACGAAATACAAACTCGCTTAAAATGATAACGACAACTATGAAAAGGTACACAACATTTTGTCGCCACCGCTGGTTTTCAAATCGCTGCCAGCCGCTGCTGCCTGAGCATGACAAACAGAAAATAAACGAGAATGGCAACGCAGCACTGTGGGTAAAGACAACGGCAGCCGAAGTATCGGATAACATTTCCGCTCTCCTACTTCACCCTCACCCATTCGCACGAGAATCCCAACCAAACGTTAAACTCACTTTGTTCACTAGCTCCCTGCAACCTCCTGGAAGTGGCGCCACGAACGGAGGAACCCGTTTCGTTCCCCACACGGGCGGGCTGGAGCAGTAGGGCAGGCCACGCGAGCACGGGTCCCACAGAGAGCACGGCGGCGCACGGCTGGCACGGCGACGGTGCGGGGGGAGCGGGGAGAGCGGGCGCGGCGGCGCAGCCGGCGCAGCAACACCACTTTGGGAAGGAGGAGGAGGGGGCAGGGTGAAGGGGGTCGAGCGGAGTGGGGGTGGAGACGCTCGCGCAAACATTCTTCGAATGGTAGCTAATGGTAGTTACAGAGGGAGTGCCGAGGCCGAGGCGGCAACGGGGGTGGCCATAAAAATCCAAAAGTAAACTTTCCAGCTTCCAGCACGAACAATGATGGGGAGCCAAGACTGATCTCCAGCTTCCAGCCCGTCCATCGCGTAACAAGGGGTGGACCACGAAAATAAAACCCCAATGAGGCATTCCGATAATGCTGAAATACAGAAGAATGCGGGGAACAAGAAAGCAGAAGTCATCATGTCATAGTGTTATCCCCGCATTCTTGTTCTGTTCAGCCTTGCCGGAACGCTTTATTTCTCGCTAGAAACATGACTTACTGTCAGGGGGGTGCGGATCCAACCCCGCGTACGCCATGTAGGCGCTGCTCGCAGTGCGCCGGGCGCCGTCATCGTCGATCGTGGGACAGTGTCGGGCCACTACTGCCACCCTAGCCTAGCCTAGCTAGCCTAGCCAGCCAGCCCTACAGCCCTACCCACACTGCCTCCCGCCCGCCTAGCCCCCTAGCCCCGCGCCACCCGAGCCCGGGGACGGGGGACGGGCTGCGACGAGCGCTGGCGGAGGCCTTTTTTCCGTCCGTTCTCTGGAGGGGGACGCATAGGAAGTTGGGGGGGGGGGAGGCAGGGCATCGTGTTTCGGGCTGAGATCAGTGATAGTGGCAACTTATCTTGGGCGAAAAGGTCCTGGCCTGGCGAAGTGACCTGGTTCGTAGTAGGGAGTTCTGCGGAGTTATGTCATTTTGGAACGAGAACTCTCACAGGTGACAGATCCAGCTGTGGTGGCACACATAGCTAGCGATGTGCGTGCACTCATTACAGTAAAAAGATGGTTGCTCTTCGGCCGCAGCTCGGACGCTCGGCTTTTAGGCGCAGAGAGATCTGATTTTCTGTCAAAGATGTCACGATTTCTAGAGGTGGATCAGTGAGACGCGACCTAAGGTGATTGACTTGATATGGTTCTGTCTTTGACAAATCGAACGACTCATTCATTACATATTGGCAGTGACTGCAAGTTTTATTGTAGCTAGCACTAAAAATACCATACAAATTAAAATAGTACAAAAATTAAAAGGGGGGAAAGCAGTCTTAATACTGTAAGTTGTACGGCGCGAGTACCGCTCTTCCAATCACATATAGGTACACAAAAAGTACAATTTTTTCTTAAACGGTGTCATTAGTCGTCATTTCAATACTGAAGCAAGTGTTACAGGATAGTGCAACATGGCAGACCACCATCGTCTCCGCGCCTCTGTCCTCCTGCTTCTGCTCGCACTTCACGGCCTTCTCCTGGCCCACCATCTTCTCCCTGCTCCCGCGCCAGCTCCTGCCCCCGCACCAGCTCCAGCTCCTGCTCCTGCGCCTGCTCCTGCGCCTGCTCCTGATCCTGCTTCTGCCCCTGCTTCTTGCTGCTCCCCCAGCAGCAACAGTCGTCGTCGTCTGAGTCCTGTAACAAACGTGCCGAGATTCACGCGTGCTTTCAAATGGGTGGCTCCGATTCGCTATATGAGCAAGCCGTCGTTATAAGCCGCGTTGAAGTTGAGGAGAGGGCGAGCGCCTGCCGATAGCGATCTGATGACTGATGACCACGCCTTCTTCATGCCTTATCGGGTAGGGCGCGGCGGAAGGAAATGAGTGGGGGTGCGCCGGCCGCGACGTGCGAAGAGTCCTCCCTGCTCGTTTGGTCCTGATCTACTACTCCTTCTCCAACTCACCAGAAAAATATCGCAGCAGCCGAGGGTTGCTCCGGCGCAGGTGTAGTCACCGCAGCCACCGCAGTCACCGCAGTCACCGCAGTCACAGTCACAGTCGCAGTCACCGCAGTCAGCGCAGTCCCCGCAATCCCCACAGTCCACGTCCATGTCGCCGAAATTGCGCCCTCGGCGTCGCCTGCAGCTCGAGTTTGAGGCCGGTCCGCCGGTCTGCTCCTCAAGGTCACCGGTGGTCGTCCGCGCTCAGCGCCTCACTGGCCAGAGCTCGCCCGCACTCGCCTACTCGCGCTCGCCGCGTCCCGCCGGTGGTCTGGTCCCGGACTGGACTGGTTGAGTTCGAGTTTTGCTCGGTGTGTGGTGCTGCGTGCTGCGTGACGGCGCAGGAGTGAGTGAATCAGTGGGGGGGGGGGGGGGACCTAAACATATCGCCCGCCCGCCGCTCGGCCGGCCAGTACAGTACGTACCGGCCGGCGAGGTGCGGGCGAGTGTCTCGAGTGACCGGTCCTGACGTCAGGGACGTGCACATTTGTTTGAAGCCGTGGCATAAGTTGAATCTGTTCAATACTGAGGCAAGTGGTACTGGATGGTGCAGCAGATGGTGGAGCCTCTGATTTCAGCTCGCCCTTATTCTTCATCTCGCTGCTCTGTCAGCAGCGACAGTCGTCGTATGCGTTCTGTAACAAACGTGTTGACCCAGACGCAGGGTTTGAGAGGGTGACCAGCGCCAGCATCTCAGTCGGCATCGATCAGATCCCGCCCTGATCCCGCCAGGGTAGCGGTAGGCGGCGCGGCGCCAGCGGGCGCCAGGGTGGCGCCGGGAGGGCGCCGGCGGGGAGCCGGCGGCGTGCGCGGCTCAGTAGCTCAGATCAGTGGCTGTGCCAGTCCTGCTCATCTCCATGTTTAACTCCAATGAGGGTTACGAAGTCGGTCCACATACTAAGGTGGGACGTCAGCCGTCAGTCTGTCGTCCTCTGCTATATTCCTTCACCAACTATGTATACGTAACTCACCACAAAAAAAGCCGTGGGTGTCGATGTTGACGCTTGACGGCGGTCTGGTGGCTCGCTGTGTGCGTGCATGCGCACTTCTCTCTCGGAATCAATGTGTTAGGGTGGTGGGGGGCATTGGGGGCCTAAACATTTCTCCCGCTTGTGCGCGTGGGTGTCTCGAGTGGGTCCTGCCCTGCCCTGCCCGATTTATTCAGGGCCGACTGCTCTGATGGATGGATGGATGGTCTGTGACATGTATACACATTATGAAGCGTACGAGTAGAGTAGCCTATGTAACTCTATTGATACAAGTACGTTGCGCTTGCCTCACAGGGCCACACAAGGGTACTCTGTGTCTTATGGGAAGGCTGAGAACATAGTGTTTTGGAGCACAGAGGTTTTGTCAAACATGAAAGGAATCCTTCCGTACCTTCTCAAATGGAAGAGACTTTTCAGAGTGGCAATGTACACACGCCACATATGAGTTACAAAAATTTTAATCACTATGTATTTTTAGTCCGTCGCAAAGTCATAGTCGGGTGGTGGGGGCGGAACCGGGGGTGGTTCGGATGGCAAGGTGACACCGTCCAGCTCCATGAGCTGGAGTCGAATCTCCATATCCGCGAGCTCGTCCAAATCCCTTTTCACAGTCTGCGAGTACGGCTCCTTGTCTTTGCCTGGGAAGAGGTGTAGAGACACATAACATGTACTGTAGCACGCGCCATGATCATGATCAGGACCCACCGACTAGGCAACCCGCTCGCACGCCTGTGTGCGGTACAGTATAACTTCAGAAGTGCGCGGGGGTTAGCCACCTGTTGCCCGAAATAGATAAAATAATGTGTCATATTGGACAAAACGCCTTACCAAGAAGCATGTTGAGCCCATCGGCCCAGGCAAGGAGGGTTGGCGCATCCTTGGCGATGAGATCCAAGGAGGGCACCTCGCTGTCGTTGGGGTCGAGGGTGAGCGACAGCGCCAGGTCCACGCCTTGCTTCTGACTCCTGCGTGCGCACGAGGACGTTCCAGTGAGAAATAGTGTCACGATAATCGTAACGATATCGCTTTCAAAAACGTTTCGACATCGTTGTGTTGGACTCGGTGGGATTGTCTTGGGCTAACCTGGAGGTTCGGATGTGCGTGCATTTCTTGCCGGTGAGGACGGCCGTGACGGAGGACAGGGGCAGCGATAGCGGCGGCTCCCCGCTCAGGTCGCCGTCGTCCTTCCCCTCGGGGCAGTCGGCGTACAGCAGCGCGGCGTCCCCGGGAGCCAACCAGACCCAGACGGGGCCGCGCTTGACGCCCTTGCCGACCCCGGTCCTGGAGAGCTTGCCGGGCCTCCGGAAGCGCGCGCCCGCCCGCAGCGTGTCCAGGCGCTGCTGCCTCACGAGCTGGTAGAGCTTGGCGCGGCTGCGCTCCCGCAGCTGCAGCACGCCGGGCGCGCTCAGCACCCCGGACACGCGCTCCCGCTCCCACAGCGCGGCCACCGCCGAGTACGGCAGCGCGCTCAGCCAGCTGTCGAGCTGGTCCCAGCTGCTTACCTGCGCGCGCAGCGCCTCGCGGAACTGTCGCCGCACCACGCGGAACACCTGCACGGAAAAAAATAAAAATCGGTTCCGTGCTAATCGATTTAGCAGGCAAATTTGGCACCCCTGCCAAAAATTTAGCTATAGGATAAAATATTTAGCTGTACTGCTAAATAGTATTGGCGATACAGCTAGTCCATTGCTTCAGTTTGCTGTACAACTAAAAGTTTAGCACTGGAGCTAAAAAAAATAGCTGGGCCTATGCTGACGAATTTTTTGCACCAGTGCTAAAAAAATAGCTAGGGTGCCATATTTATTTTTGCGTGTGCCCGGGCAGAGAAGCAGCGCAGCTGTGAGATCGCCCAGGGACCCATAGGGGCAGGTCCAAGGGGCAAGGGGTCGAATGCCACACCGGCCAGCGCCCCCAGCGCCAGATGAGACGCGCACCTTGTCCTGATCGCGCTGCGTCTTGGCCCGCATCTCGCGTCGGGTCTTGGCCAGGAGGTTGAGCCCGCGGCAGAACAGTTCGTGGAAGAAGGGCACGTCCCTAGAGAACAGCAGGGGCTGGTACAGGTTGGACTTGGCGGAGGAGGGGGTGCCGTCGGGGTCCCTGCAAAGGAGCAGCTCCGCGCCCAGCAGCCGCACGAGCCGCTCGGCCGTGTTGTTGAGCGAGCTGTACAGCGCCTGCTCCTCCTCGAGGGCGCGCACGGCGAGGCCGGGGTGGTAGTCTCGGAGGTAGTCGAGGCACTCCTGCCCCAGCCTGCTCGGCGGCACCTCGGGCTCCATCGCGTCCTCGGGGAGCTCGGACCACAGGGTGGAGTGGCTGCCTCGGTGGCTGGGCCTGCACCACGCGCTGTCGTCGGAGGCCAGGCTCGTCACCGAGCCCATCGAGTCTCTGCTGACGCTCCCCTGCGTGTAGGTCATGCTCGCCGGAGACAACGACCTGCCGTCGGCCTCGACGTCGGCGCTGGCGGGCCGGAGCAGGCCGTCGGTCCGGGTGGGCGGGAGCAGCTTGTAGGGCGCGTCGTCCAGCGACCGCCTGTCTCCGGGGAGGACTACCCTTTCGGCGTGCTCGGCGTCGCCCTCGCACCAACTGTGGCTGTGCAGCAGCGAGCTCGCCTGGCGACAGAACATCACAAGCATAGGGCCAGCCGCTTGGAGGAACGCGCGAATCTCTGCTGCCGCTTTTGCCGCCGACTTACAGCAGACTTCCGCCGCCGTCGCGTGTGACGGGGTGGTGGCACGGGTGGCCGGTCTGGCGCGACGAGGCTGGGGTCGACGGGGGTGTCGATGGACTCCTGGAGGGGCTGTAGCACCAGCTTCTGGAGGTTGTACAGCTGACGAGCCATGTTCGAGCGGACTGGAGAGCACAGTACGTTCTGGACGATTGTGGCACACACCTTGAGAAGCAGGGGGTGTACCCGGGAATGGGTGTGAGTAACTCTGAATGGCGACAAGCGAAATAGGTCGGCAGTAGATGTAACGCACCTGGGGCGACGTGAGAGTCTTGGTGGCCTGCATCTTGGCCTCGGGGCTGCCGGGCCCGAGGCGCGCCTCCCTCGCGGCGAGGACGTTCATCAGCTCGAGGCCGTGCGTCTGCACCCCGGGCTTCTCCGTGTACCACAGCATGGGCACCACGTCCAGGACGCTGAGGTGCTGCGCCGCGGACACGGCCCAGGGCTGCGCGCTGACGGCGGCCAGCAGCCGCAGCGACATCTCCAGGAGGGTCGGCTCCACCGACTGCTCGGCGCGTATGTACTCGCTGAGGCGCTTCATCACCGCGACCAGGTCCGCCTCGTCGCCGCTCAGCACGCCCTGCCGCACCAGGCTAAGCAGCGCCCTGGATCACAAGGCAGTGTCTTGGATTCAGCGAACTGTACTATGATGGTTGAATGGCCCCGCCCACATCTGGAGATAGGTTAGCGCTCGCAGACATGCGGGTGAGTTTGCCTGCACCGAGAAAAATGTGATCTCACTTCAAGTACATTTTGACTCAAGAGGAATTGTATTTTTCTTGACACAAATCTGTTTTCTCGCCTGGTTTGAGAAAATTTTAACATTCGAACAATCTTAACATATCGTCTTGTGTCAAGAGTAAAATAAATATATCATTGCTCGGGGTCACCACGAGACGATAGGCAAACCCGCCCAATACGCCTGTGATGGTGACAGTAACTGCGGAAATGGGATGGGCCGAATCAGCCACAGGTCATCATGATTCAAACGTCTTGCCTGAGGGTCCAGAGCAGCTCCTTGTGCCGGAGGCGCTGCCCCTTCCGGTCGTTGACGAGGAGGCCGAGAAGCAAGTCCACGACGCCGGGCCGCTCCAAGAGCGCTGCCACGAAGTTGGGGTCGGTGCACAGCTCGGACAGCCTCTGCAGCGCCCACGGCCGCTCGTCGGGGTTGTTTCTGCAAGCAGGGTCGGGGACATTGCGGAGAGTTGATCGGGGTCCGATGAGGAACCCCGTGCTCTTTTGTAGGTATACTTTACCGCAAGCAGGCGTGCAAGCGGGTTGCCTAGTCGGTCGGGGCCGTCGTAAGGCGCCGTGGTCAGCGACGGTAAGCAGACCCGCCGCACGCCTGCGTGCGGTAGTATAACTTGCTGTCTCAGACACTTCTCACACTCACGCCTTGCCGTTGAGCTTGTCCAGGATGAGGTCGGCGAACACCCCGGGCGCGTACGTGAGGACGAGCTCGGCGCCGTTCTTCAGCACCTCGCCCCGGTTGAGCTCCGTGACGTACTTCTGGCCGCCGCCGGCGCGCGCGACGAGGGCCAGCGAGTAACGGGCTTCCCTCCAGCGAATGTCGCAGTCGTTGCACAGGCCGCGGCACACCTCGTCCAGGGGAAGGCGCTGGTCGAGGGCCAAGAGCTGCGACTTCCCGTTCACCGTCACCGCCACTTTCACCTGAAAGTCGAGCAAGTGATAGCCCATCATAGCCTTGATTGAGCGGATGACCGGAACGCCGCGGACTCGCGTGCTCTTACGAGGGATGCTCTCTGGCCCGGTCCTGGCGGCGCCTGCTCGTCGATCGGCGCGTCCAGGTCATCGTTGACGACGGTGGCGGCGTCCTCATCGTCGTCCCGTTCGCCGATGGTGACTGTGTCCTCGTCGCTGTCCGTCACGTCGTCCACGACGTCGTCGTGGTGCTGGCTGTCTGCGCGGCCTTCCATAGCTCGAGCGCGGCAGCCCAAAACTGACTTCCTGCAGCTGCTCCCCGACGGTCGCGACGACGCGCCAAGGCTAACTGCCGCTGAGCGCACCGATATCGCGGGAGGAGACCCTGATAATCAGGAGTAGGTGCGGCAGCGCGGCGGGGCGGGGCGGTGCGGGGCAGGGCGGGGCAAGGTGTGCCGGCGCCGCGGCGCAGTGGGTCACGCCGCAGGTGGGGCGGGGGGCTTGGGCCACCGGGCCACCGCGACGAACGGGGCTTGCAGTCGCTTTCAGGCAGGAGGGGGGTAACGCGTACAGTCCTCCCCAGAACTCCCACACACTTATCCCCTTATCACCTATGGCACAAACAGGCCTTTCCTCCCTCGCTAAGGCGGCGAATATGAACATGAACAAGGCAGCCACTGCGAGAGCGGTGGCACCCGTGAGGATGGGGAGCGCGACTTTGGGCACCGTGCATGACCTTTGCCACCCACAGGACGTGTATCGTCTCCTTGAGTAGACGGGTACTAACGGCGACAACGCCCTTCGCCCTTTGCCCCTCGCCCCTCCCGACAGGAGTCACAGTCAGTCGTTCGCACCCGCCTTCCCTCCCTAGGGTATCTGATCTGGTCCTCCCCTCTGCTGACTCCGCGCCGCGGGCGCCGCTTTCCTGCCTGCAGCGTCGTGCGAATAAGCACAAGTTCGATGCAGTCAGTGCAGACCGCACCCGTCCTGTCACCGGCGACACAATGATTGTTTGGGTGTTATTTTGTCTATTTTTATCGTGTGTCTCGGGTTTGGGCCAGTCGCAGTTATACGGTGATGAATTCCACGAGGAGTTACTGCTAAAACAGTTGCCCAGTGGCCATGTCTACTCCTATTTCCAATTCACAACTCTGTGGGAAAATGGTGGTGATGAGCCCAGTAAGTGCCTAACCTCTTGTTTATTTATTATTTTGTAAATCTTCTAGTTAGGTAATATCTTCAACAAATATTACTCTTCCTACAAAGCTGGTATATCTCGAGCCTCTTCCTCACATAATTTTAGAAACTGACATCCCATGTTAGTGGGTTGATATATTATCATAGTGTGCTGATATTGAACCTTGAAGACCACCTCCTGGCCAACTTGGAGGTTAAGAGGTTAGGTTCTCGTTGAGTGACAATCAGCTGATCACAATGGTAAACAAGAAGGGAGATAATAATCCAGAAGTTGATACCAAGAAGCTTCTGGAAGAGATTAACTCACTAAAAACAATTTGTCAGCAAGTCCGAGATGCCCAGGCTGAGTGTCTGAAAAGTCAGGAGTTTATAAACACTGACTACGAATCACTCAAGAAGACTCAGAAGAGTATTTTAACCAAACTTAAAAATGTGGAAGATAAAATGGACAAGCTTACAAAAGCCTGTGCAGAAAAAGACAAAATTATTCTAACTCTTAAGAAGAGGGTGATAAGTTTGGAAAATCACTCACGAAGAAAAAATATTGAAATACATGGTGTGTTTGAATTGGAACGTGAAAGTGTGGATGACATTGTAGTAAGAGTGTCGCACCAACTTGGTGTGCCTTTAAAGAAGGAAGATATTGAGGCTGCTCATCGTGTCCCTACCAGGGCAGAAGGCAAGCCTAAACCAATCATTGCAGAGTTGAAGTCAAGAGCAAGAAGGGAAGAAATTATTGCAGCCAAGAAAGAAATATGCAGTACTGACATAGTGAAGTCTTCCCAAAAAGGAAGAGTCTTTGTTTATGCACAAATCTCCCCCGAGTTAAAATCACTTAGGTGGGAGGCCAAGAAAAAAGCAAAGGCCTCAAACTGGAAGTTTGTCTGGATTAAGGATTGTACGCTGTTAGCAAGAAAATCAGAGAATGACAGACAAATAATTAGAATCGAGTCTATTGAGGACCTCGATAAAATATGTTGACTGTCTGCTGTTTCTATTTGTTGTTATTCTTAATTTCTCATGACTGAGTTGTTAAGTAGCTACATTAAATCTGTGTGCAGACGACACAAGGAAAGACTGAAAATAGTGCACATAAATGCACAATCTTTGAATGATCATGCTCATTTCTCTGAGTTCCAACATGTCTTCTGTGATAGTGGAGTAGATGTTGTCACTGTTAGTGAAACATTCTTCAAAAACTCTAGTCAGACTGATGTCACTAATTTTAATGTCTTCTATGTCAACAGGAAAAATAGAAATGGAGGTGGAGTGGCTGTTTATGTATCAAACAGATTCAATGCTAAATTACTAGATAAATCAAATGGTGATGCACTCAGACCGGAGTTCATCTTACTGGAACTGAATTGCAAACAATTTAAAATTCTACTGGCTGCTGTCTATAGACCACCTAAAGTGGGACATATGGATGAGTTTGTAAGTTCTATGTTCAAATTTCTACCTCAGTATCCAAATGCCATAATAGCTGGTGATTTAAATGCACGATTTGGTAGTGGAGCTTTTGAAACCAGAAATGTAGAAGAGAGTTTGTACATGTGTAACCTAACCCCTATTCCATACGAACCAACCTACCATACAAAGTACTGTGACTCTACGTTGGATGTGATTGCTAGCAACATTCATGATTTATTAATTGAGTTTGGCCAGACACCTGCACCAGGTTTCTCTAGTCATGACTTGCTGTATGCAATTTATAATTTAAAAGTTGAAAAGCCCAAAAAAGAAACCATCAAGTTCAGAAATTTTAATAAAATAAACAAGGAGTTACTGAAAGAAGATGCAGCGCAGGTTCCATGGCATGAAATCTATAAGTTACACAATATTGATGATAAGGTGGCACTGTTTAATTCATTTATGACTGAACTTATGAATAAACATGCACCCATCCGTACTGTCAAGGTTAAGGATTGTTCGCCCAAATGGTTTACTCCAGAAATACTTCAACTCATTGCACTCAGAAATAATGCGAGGAAAAAACATCTTTCAACTAAATGTTGTCATGACTATGAGGCTTTTAGAGTGTTGAGAAACAGAACTAAACAAGCAATCAAATGTGCCAAAATAAAGTACTTTCATGGTATGTTTAAAAAACGCAAATCAGGTAAAGAGCTCTGGCATAATATCAAGTCTCTGTCTTCAAATAAATCCCAAGAAGGCCATATCAAGTCAGGAGCCTTTTCAGCTGATGACCTCAATGAACATTACTTAAAAGTTAGCTCAATAAGTGATGAGAATAGAGTGGAAAATGCAGTTCTGCAATATGAATGCTATCCGGATTATGCTGGAGAAAAGTTTTACTTTAAGTTCGTGACTCCTGACACTATTGCAAAAGCTATTAATAGTATAAAATCCAATGCAATTGGAGAGGATCAGCTGCCAGGACAGTTTATTAAGTTATGCCTGGACCAGATTATTTTTGTTCTTGAACATTTGTTTAATTTTTGTTTACAATCATCTGTTTTTCCTGAAGTGTGGAAGGCTGCAAATATCTTACCTATCCCTAAGATTAAAAATGCAGAACAATGTAAGGACTTCCGTCCAGTAAGCATCTTATGCTTCTTAGCCAAAGCACTGGAAAAAATTGTGCATCAACAAATTTCTGGTTTTCTTAATGAAACAAATCAGGTGAATGAACTACAGTCTGGTTTCAGACCAGGATGCAGTACAACTACTGCACTACTTAAAGTTTGTGATGACATCAGAAGATCAATTGACAAAAGAAGATTAGTACTGTCGGTCCTACTAGATTTCAGTAAAGCCTTTGATAAGGTTCACCATGGACTTCTAATAACAAAACTTAGAAAAATGGGCTTCTCTAATTCTGTAATATTTTGGATGTATGCCTACCTCTCAGATAGGGTCCAGAGAGTGAAAAGTGGCGATGCTTTTGTGTCTGAATGGCTGTATATTCTAACAGGAGTTCCGCAGGGAAGTGTGTTGGGACCTCTTCTGTTTCTACTGTATATAAATGACATATCTGATGTGTTCTATAAGTGCTGCTATCATTTATATGCTGATGACTTGAAAATCTACTACAGCTTTGAGTTGCCATCTTACAATGAGGCAGTGTGCAATATTAATATGAACTTGGTTAATCTTAAGGATTACATTGATTGTCACAATCTTTGCCTGAATGTTGAAAAGACACAACCCATCATATTTGGAACAGCCCAAACTGTGAAACAGCTAATGCTAAACAATGTACCGCAAGTTAACATAAATGGTACTTCTATACCTTACCAGGAGACTGCGACCTATCTTGGAGTAACTTTAGACAATACTTTGACTTGGAACCAACAATGCAATAACACCATCAACAAGATATTTAAAACCCTTAGTATTGTTAAAAGAAATTTTTGCTATCTTCCTTATAGTATAAGAAAACAGATTGTTGAGTGTCTATTGTTTCCCATTTTTGATTATGCTCTAGTTGTGTTAACAGATCTTCCTAAAACTACATGTGAAAGGCTACAAAAAGCACAAAATGCTTGCGTAAGATTTGTGACTTGTGTGCACTGGATGGACCACATTACACCATCTTATGCTGAACTAAAATTCCTCAAGATAGCTGATCGAAGAGTTTTGGCACTGTCAATTCTAATGTGGAAAGTCATGAAAACCAAATCACCTCCCTATCTTTATGAGTTGTTCAAATTCAATACCAACAGACATGGACGATCATCAGATCACAACTTAATTATACCTCCACGTAATACCACTAAGTTTGCTAACTCTTTCTGTGCCACTGCTACCAGACTGTGGAATCACTATAAGATGTTCAACTACATGAACTTTAATCAACCTCGAGCACTAAGACAAAAAGTGTTTCAAACATTACTGAACAGTTATACATCTTCCTAACTATTTTATTCTTGCATTTATTAATTACTCTGTTATATTTTATGTTCTTTTATAAGCATATTTATTTATATATTTTATATTAATATTCTAAACTTGTTTTACTAATGTTATATTTTTGCAAATGAGAGCGGTAGGTTTTACGCCAGTGGGGCAAACATTTCTGTAGCCCTTTTGTAATTCTCTACCTTAAATAAATCAATCAATCAATCAATCAATCAATCAATCCCATTGCATTTTTTCTGCTTGCTCTGACAATTTAAAACAACAATCACCGCTGTACAAACATATCCACAATTGTTATTCTTACATCATTTTAATTATCACTGCTCTTTTTTTCAGATCATCACTGCCACCTCTTTCCTCAATCATTGTCTGAAGTCTTACATTTATACGATGTAGATGAGATGCACCTTAGTTTGACAGGCGGCCTGTGGCGACATGAAAATTGGGGATATCCTGTTGTTAGTGCCCCTCCTGGAGCAGAGCTTTGGGCTTGGTTCAAGGAAGGAACTGAAGAGTAAGTAAACTTTCTGCTCTACTTTGAGCCATTGGCATATACTTTATTTTCAATATTCCATAACTGGTTTCCTGTTTAATTTTCCTTAGTGTGGACAAAAAATGGACACTTCTCAGTAATGCCCTTTCTGGATTATTTTGTGCGTCCCTAAACTTTATCAATCCCCAGCAAAGTTTAAACCCTAAGTATAGCTTTACTCCATTGGGTGCATATGCCTCAGCTTCTCAGAACAGATCTCTTCTACGTTATTCAACTTTACCCAGGGAAATTGTTTGCACAGAGAATTTGACTCCATTCAAAAAGTTACTGCCTTGTGATTCTAAGGTATTGTATCTACCATCTGAATCTAGTATCCCCAAATCTCGTTTCCAAATGATTTTGACTGTTGATTTTCTTTTTCTTTGAAATAGAAGGGATTGTCATCTCTTCTAAATGCAGGAAATATTCATAATGCTAACTATCACTCACTAGGTATCCATGTAAGACCTCAATGCAAGGTAAGACTTCTCAATTTTATTAGAAAGAGCCCTTTTTCTTTTTTCTTGTGAGTAATACTTTTTCTTCTTTATTTCACAGGATGTACACTGTCTTCAGACTGTTCTTGAATTGAAACAGACTGTCTCTTTAGTGTATGATTTAATTATACTTGGTCCTGAAAGTCGAGATTGGTCTTTTAGAAAGTTGTTTGGTGTTGGCCTTGCTGGCTCGTGTCCACTGGCAACCACTAGCAAAATATATGTTGACACTAGCTCCAATGGGGTATGTTTCAGTACAGTTCTTACGAAAGTGTACACAGTTTGTGTCATCAGTCATTTCATGGACATTTAATTTTGCAGACCTCATCTGTTTATACCTTGACTCCTGATCCTACTGAGTTTATAAGTAGTACTCGAGGTGGTTACAACACTTTGTTTGCTGTTTATGATATCAAGAAAACAAATATTATTACTATGTTCAGCATATCAAGTACTCACAAAGGACCTCGGGTGCAATCCCTTAATAGTCCACCTGTTTTGCATGCCACCAGATATATTGTTGGTAAGATTCTCAGATACTGTCCATTTCTCTTCTTATTTTCTCTCAAACTAATTGTTTTTGTTTTAAATAGGATATGGTCAAGAGCATGGTGGTATTGTCACAAAGGTGCACAATAATCACTGGAAAGATATGGACATTATACTTTTTGAAAATATTCCCTGGTTTCTTCCTATTTATTATCACACCTTAAAAGTCACAGCTAATGGAGGAAAGCAAGTACTTACCCCTTGTGAGTGATTGAAAATCTTTTTGTTTCAAATTTATTTTTGTCTTTTATTAATATTTATTGTATTTAATTTTTAGATAAAAAGCACTACATACCAGGGCGGGATCGTAGTAGACCATATGCCCTGGAGCTTGTAGTTACTCTCCCACCTCGCTCTGTAACAGAAATTTATGTGGAGTTTGACTACAGCTTCTTGAAATGGCAGGAGTACCCTCCTGATGCAAATCACGGTTTCTATGTGGGTGCTGCTGTGATTACTTCTATCCTCCCTCACACCAAAAACTACACTGGTATTCCCATTGATGGATCGACATTTTCATCAAGGTAAACTAATTAATTAATTGATTGAACTTGCATTCAGATTCTTTGAAGTTTTGCCTAAGGTATTTTTGTGTGTTTCAGTATTAATGCTTCACGGGACTCATATCCAGTGACTCTTCACACTGAAATTTTACTGGTTACGCTTCCTACTCCTGATTTCAGTATGCCATACAATGTGATTTGCTTAGCATGTACTGTTGTTGCCCTTGCTTTTGGACCTTTACACAATCACACAACAAAGAGGTGAGAAATATGGTAGATTAACCTACTGTAATTCATTTTGTATCATCAAAATTTTTCAATACTTAACTATTGTTTCAGGTTGCAAATGTTGGATCCATCAGAAGAGACAAAAGGTCTATTAACCACTTTACGAATGAGGCTTAAGTCTTTCTTATGCAAAAGCTCTGAAAAGAAAGAAGAAACCCCTGTAGAAACCAAAAGCAGCAAATCAAAAACTAAAGAATCACCCCAAGAAGAGAAACTTTGTGAGAGTAAACCAATCATCCGTAAAAAAGTAAAAGCCTCAAAGTCAAGCTCATAATAATTTTTTTCTCATTTTTATAACATTTTTTTAAACTATGAAATTAAAAGTTGTAACTGTTAATGGATAAGCAAGATACTGTGATGACCAGTTAATGGTGATGTATTTGTTATGTAGCTTGCTATTTTATGGATTCAGTATTAGTATATATTTACCTTTGTACAAAATTATAGACAATGTGATTGTAGGATGTTATAATTGTTCATAGACCTAATACTGCATGTATGCTGCCATTTCTGTTTTCCATTCTTCATCTAGTCACATTCCTTGCAAGGATGGTGAATTTTGTAGAAGACTAGAAAAAGTCGCTTATATTGTATTGGCTGTCTGTTAGACAACCTTTGGTATGTAACTTGACCAGTAGCAATAAAAGTATTGGACTGAACTGTATGAGTTTGTTGTTTAAATTTCACCTTCAGTCCACTGATAAACATTCTGAATGAGAATGAAATAGACAATAGTACAGGCTCATTAATGTATAATAAAATTCCTTTACAAACAAAAAACAATAATATTACTGTACAATATTAATATTGCTACAATATAATTACAATCAAGTTTGCTTAAACTCAGAGTACAAAGGGGGTTGTACAAAAGAAGCAGTTTGTACATAAGAGGTAGATTGAACAAAAGTTTGCGGTGGTTGCGCAAAGACTGGTCGGTTAGTAAAACTAGGAAGTTGGGTTTGGGGTTGGGATGGGTAATGGGGTGGGATTTGGGGTTGGGATGGGTAATGGGGTGGGATTTGGGGTTGGGATGGGTCTTGGGATTGGGATGAGTAATGGGGTGTGATTTGGGGCTGGACCTGGGGTTGCACACTTGTTTGTGCAGTGGAGTACGGTGCACGCGAGGTAGTTACAGAGTCAGAAGCATAAGGAGAGGGGGGAAAATACCCTTGCCGGGGACGCAGAAGTTCTGCATCTCTTGTCAAGGAGAGCAGCTGAGTCGCACGCGCTATGGGCACCAAGTTCATATGCTCCACATCCTGGTGGTCAATGAGGGACCACTCGTCGGGCAGGGACGCCGGACACACGGAGCAGGTGCTGGGCGTGCTGGTGGCGGCGCTGCTGACAGGGTCGAGCTGGGGCTGCCACAGCTTGGGCTGCGTGAACAGGTGGCTGGGCGCAGGCAGGGACATGTGCCTGCTCTCGCAGGCGTGCTCGTGCAGGAGCGCGACGCAGGGGAAGCTGCGGTTGCAGCCCTCCTCGCGGCATCGGAAGGGAGTGCTGCCGGGGTGCTGCCTGCAAAAGTCGGACAGAACAGTTGGGTAAAATAAACGGGAAAAGCTACTCTGAAAAACAAAAAAATCTAGAAAGTTCAATATCCTTCTAGAGCAAACAAAATGAGTGATCATACATTGCAGATAAAATCCATCCTTGATTTAAGTTAGTTTTACAATTTAGTCACACCCTATTTATTGTTCAAACCCCAACTTAAAGTTTTACTTTCTTTAAAACTCATGTTAATTTTAGAAACAATGTCAGATCCGGTGCCTCGTCTTACCTTCGGATGTGCTGGGTGAGGCCGGCAGGCGCGCGGAAAGACTTGGAGCACAACGGGCAGGCGAAGGGGGAGACGCCGGAGTGCTTCTGCCGCCAGTGGTCGTTGAGCAGCTCCCGCGTCACGAAGGGCACGCAGCATGCCAGGCAGCGCTCCTGAGCGTTGTCCAGGTTGTGCCTCTGTCGATGCGTCTGCAGAGCCAAGGGCGCGTCAAAGGCCAAGCTGCAGCCCGGCTCGTCGCAGGCGAAGGGCGTGCAGTTGGCGTGCTCCAGGCGAACGTGGCTGCCCAGCACCTTGGGGTCCTTGGCTCGGAACCTCCTGAAACAGGTAGACAAAGAACAGGTCAGTCTCACAGGAAGGTGTGTGGGTACATGTAGGGATTTTAATTCTACAGAAAAGTAATTTGGGGAATTTTTTTCAAGAATATATCTTTATTTAACCCGAGGGGTACACCACTCCGATTCTGGGCGTACACCTACTTTTAGTTAATTTTCTTTCGCCGTGACTTTTTGACTTTTTTTTGTACTTTAATTTTACCTTTTTTTTTGGCTTTTTGATCAAATTTATTTGACTTCTATGACTTTTCCCTGCTATTTTTATTCAAAAATAAGGGAGAGTCGAATTTTGGGGGGGCTAATAATAAGGTTTTTTCAAGACTTTTTGGTACTATTTATAGCATGAATCGAATAAGAAGAAAATTCTTTGTCAGAGTACACTCCTAAAGGAAGAAAAACAGATCATTTTCAATATTTAAGGTTTTTTGGTCGAGCAATCCTATAAAATCCGAAAATTTCATTTTTCTCACTTTACCCACCCTCCTCCCTCTTTAAAAGACAGTGATCTAGGACTTTTCGATACAATCACAGTTCTTTTTGGCCTCTTACAGGCAGATATTGTACTATCATGTTGACTTTTTGGTGACTTTTTCAGTGCCTTTTCTCTGACTTCTCGTCGACTTCTGGTCGACTACTCGTTGACTTCCATTGACTTTTTTGACTTTTATTGACTTTTATTGACTTTTTAAATGACTTTTTGACTTTATCTTGACTTTTTGGATCGCGTACACCTACTTTAAGGAGTGGTGTACCCCTCGATTAAACCTCATGGCATTTTTTCTAGAAATATTTAAAATTAGAGCATGTAGAGTTGTGTCCCCGCGACAAGTTTTTGCAGAAAAACTCCCATTTTATCCCCCAAAATTTCAGATTTTTAAATACCCCTGCATGGGACAAAAGGGACTTACCAACAGATGGGGCAGGTGAGTTTGGCCTGCTCCGCGGGCAGGCTTGAGCGCATGTCCACGTGAGGGGGGTCCTTCATGGTCAGCAGGTGGGTGGTGAGCATCACGTCCGAGGGGAAGCAGGCGGCGCACACGGGGCAGCGGTGCTGCACGCCCGGCGGGTGCGCCAGCGCTTGGTGGACGTCACTCTGCAGCTTACTCCAGGACACGCCGCTGCGAAGGAGAGATGCAAAAAAAGTATGAAAATGAGCGTCCGGGACACATGCTACGTCTCAAAGGGGCTCGCACGGCCACCTTACCTGCACTTGTCGCACTCTCGCCTCGTGCACGCCGTGTGGTGGTCGACGCGGTGCCGCGCCGCGGCGAGGGCAGATGGCTGCCTGAGGCCGCAGTCGCCGCAAGGGTGGGTTTTGTTAATGATCACTGAAGTCGACTCCCAGGGCCGCGCCGGGGCGGGTGCAGCGGGCGCCCTGAACGTGGGCGGCCCAGGGCCGACCGGGCTGGCGGGGATCGAAGGCACAACCGCCGCGCTGCCGCCCCAAGAGGCCGCCATCCTGGCCAGCGAGGCCATGGGGTCGGCCGACTTCTTGACACTTCCCCAGGAGGCGAGTTGTTGCGCCCGGCGAGCGGCGACCTGTGGTACGGGCGCCGCCGGGACCTTCCACGTCCCCGCCGCCACCGTGCTCGGCGCCGGGACAGGTTTGGCCGCGGCCGCCAGCGTGCCATCGCCGACCCCCAACACGTCCTCCAGGTCGACGAGCTCGGGCAGCGCAGACTCGGCCTCGCAGGCAGAGAGCCGGGCGGTGGCAGAAGGTGCGGGGCCGAAGCATGGGGGCGCAGACGACGCCGTGGCCCTGCCTGGAGGCACCTGAGACACCGGTGAGGAGAAGTAGGCTGGAGGGGCACTCGTTGAAGGCTTGTAGGCTTGAGGAAGACTTGCAGACCCCGTGAAGTTTGGACTCGCAGACGTCGCGAGAGGTTGATGCGAATTAGTAGCGGCTGGGAAGGCATGAGAGGCATTTGAAGAGGGTGGGAAAGGTTGATGTACGTTAGAAGAGGGTATGTGGGCTTGACGCACATTTGAACAGGTTGGGAAGGGTTGAGGTACATTTGCAGAGGGTGGAAGGGATTGAGGTACATTTGCAGAGGGTGGAAGGGATTGAGGTGCATTTGAAAAGGGTGGGAGGGATTGAGGTGCATTTGAAAAGGGTGGGAGGGATTGAGGTGCATTTGCAGAGGGTGGGATCGATTGAGGTACTTTGGCAGAGGGTGGGAAGGCTGGCGGCGCACTAACACAGGCTGGGATGGCTTGGGGTTCAGGTTCACTCGGTGACGGTGCAGAAGCAGACGGTACGACGCAGTACACTTTAGGTGCAGATGTTGTACTAGATGGTGATGAACGATCCTGTGGTGAACTCGACGGGCTCGCCGTCAACTTCAGCTTCAACTTCAGGGGAAGCCGGGGCTTAGCGTCAGGAGGTGAGAGTACTGTAACTTCAGGAGATCTCAAAGTATATTGAGAGCTCCGAGCAACACTCAAATCCATTGGACTAGTTGGGGTGGTAGGAGTGGCTTGTTTCCGCAGCAGGGCCTGAGGGGAGCTTTGGACTGATGGTGGGGACACAGCTAGATGCTCTAATTGTGACAAGCTGTGAGTGTGCTCAAGAGGGAGAGCACTAATGTTATTTGAAACCTTTTCTAACATTTTGGGTTCGGAAAAATCTTCAGGGGTGGCTAACATTTCAGCCTCATTGCGTACAGTGACTTTCCCTATTACTGTATTGTTCAGTATTGTGATAACTTGAAATTTTGTTGATTTGGTTCCTGATTCTGGACTTACTTTTATCTTTTTCAGTGGTTCCATGCATTCATCGACCTTTGCAGAAACCAATTTAGATTCATTTAAGGTTTCACATTTAAATTTATCTTCTTTGGCATTATTACTTGACATTACTTTGGTTTCTTTGTATAAAGCTTGAGATTGTACTTCGGAGCAGACTTTAGCTATTTGATCGGAGGGAATTCCAACTAATGGTTGAGATTTCACTTCTTTTTGACTCTTGTCAGCTGGAGATGACTTAATTTTCTTTTTCTTAATTGTCTTTTTTAAGAGTTTACTACATAATGGCCCAGGCTTTGCGTTGTCCTGCAAATAAACAAAAAAGTTGAGCTTTAGTTATTAACTTACGTAAAACAGCAGTTATGTGTGACAAATCGAAAAGGTCCATCATCATCATGGAAGCAAAGAAAGAATTGGCACCTTTGACTTCATCCTAAATTCTTGAAGTCTAACATAGAGTGGCTTATCTTCAAGTTTCTGTAAAAAGCAAAAGATTGATGTCAGTAAAGTCATAAAAACAATGCTGCAGTAAAATTTAAACAAAATAAGAAAAAAAGAAAAAAAAAGGAAAGGAAAAGAAAAAAGGAGCTATACCATTGATTCTGTGGGTTTTACATCTAGGTTATCACTCAAGGGTTTGATACCCAATTTCTACAACAAAAATCAAATTTGCTTTTAGTACACTGAAATAGCAGAAAAAATAATAATTTTTATCATCCAAAAGTTACCTTTATCTTTTCATTAATGCTACTTTGTAATCGGAAAATTAAAGGAATGTCTTCTGGGTCCTGTAAAAATATTTATATGGAGGTGAATACAGTAATACAATGTAAAGTTTCCTTATCTTATAGCAGCTTACCTTTGTCTTGGCGTTACTCTCATCTTGCTTTACAAGAACTGAGTTAATCTCTTCTAGTTTCACTGAAACTGGTGTGACTCCGTAATCCTATTTAAAACAAATATCACAGTTTGTTTACACAATAAAATTTTTCAATTAATAATATTTTTGTCATCAATTACTCTGTAACTTGTACTATACCTCAACTTTTATTTTAGCCTCCTGAGATATTTGGTCTCCAAGATGAACCTAAACGAAGTGACGTAGTTTTCTTAGAAAAGAACAGGCAAACACCTAAGCATCACATCTTTAATATAGACCTTACCTGAGAACTCTCAACGGTGCGGGGAATGCCACCGAAACCGACATCGCGGATACGGGGACGCCCCCTCCCCCGCGGAGATGGTTGGCCGGAGGCCAGTCGCTGGTTTTGTTGGGACCTTTTCTCACAGGGAGGACACTTGCACTTCTGACGGTACTCGCACGACGTCTTGTGGCCTTTGAGCACCCGCAACTTGCCGTGGTTCCGGCAAAAAGCGCAATATCGCTGGTTTGCGGGCGAGGTTTGCGCAGTCCCGCCCGGCTCGGTCTTGGCCTCGGCCGTGACCGCGGAGGATTCAGTCTTTGTTGTAGGGTCCGGAATCATCCTAGAGGGGCTCACCCTCGCAGCATCGTCCAGCGGCGTGGGCGTGCCCGCCGGTGTCACTGTCAGGTCCGACGCAGCGTCAAGGTCGATCACCAGCCGATCAGAGAGGGTGTCGTCCAGGTCGAGGTCCTCCTCGTCGTCATCATCTAGGGATGCCTCCAACTCGAATACCACCAGGTTGGAAGAGGCGCCGCCGTGAGACTGATGCAAGCTCTCTGTCCCTGAGTGCCTCTCGTCAGGCGAGGGTGTCAACCGCAACCCTAAATTTTACAAAATTAAAAAAATGAATATATATTACAAATTTTGTACATTCATTTTTCCGACACCCATCCAACACAAGACTGAAATGTGAACAAAATAGGAAAGCAGTACAGCCATTACTCACGGTAACTGTTGTCACTGGAGGGTGAGTCTTCACTAGGTTTCCCTAGCATTGGCTCCAAACTCCTACAAAAAAGGGAAAAAAAAGTTGTTGTATTTCTTTCTTTTTTTATTATCTTTTTTAAAAAAGATGACATGGCTCTCTGCAAAATAAAATAATAAGCACAAGAAGACTATAAAAATATAAGTATTCAAGATAAACTCCACGGAAAATAGTCTTGCATGCAACATGTAAAAATAAAAATGTACCTTACAGGTAATTACAGAAAATGTAACAAACTCACCGTTGCGAGCTAGAACGCAGAGGCGTGGACGGCATCGTCGTTTTAAGGCTGGGAAGTGAGGGGGTAGTTTCAGATTTAGTGCGCGAGATACTTGGTGAGGCTTGGGAGGACACATTTGGGGAGGTGTGCTCCTCAGCGGGTGCATCTTCTTCCATCAAGTCGTCAAGCAGGGCCTCCAAATCAATATTTTCAAGAGTGTCATCCGTGTCTTCATTGTGATGGGCTGCGGTAGTTGGAGACGGTGACATTGGGCCGCTGTCAGAATTGCGCAAAAATTCTGAAATGGCGTCGACGGTTTCCTCCAGACCTGAGAAGGGCCCAGCACTGCTGTTCCTTTCCCCGGGATCACTCTTTGTTGGGGGCGTCGCCTCACTTCCAATTCCTTCCCCCTGATTCGTCGCCGAGGAAGCGACTTTGTTGGTTGCATCCACTTCAGTCGGGGCAACATCTTCATCTGCATCCGGGCTAGGAGAGGGAGTGACGTCACGATACTTGTCCATACCCGGGAGAGTCACTAAGGGCCCGGGCGGCTCTTCATCCACACCAGGAGGAGGCGGTTCTGCTTCTCCAGGATCCGGGCTGTCTCGACCCTTCCTGGAGAGCGGCCCCTCGAGGCCGTCCCTGGAGTCACCGTCGCTGCCGTACGATGCCACCAGGCCGAGCCGGTGCGGGGGCGACGCCGCCTGGCAGAGGTGACAGCGACACCCGCGGAACCTGCACAACTTGAGGTGCACGTTGTCATCAAAAGTGAACACCTGGTGGCGCTCGCACAGCGGACACAGCGTCTTGTTCTGCATATGGGCCTTGAAGCGGGTGCGCACGCCGCGGCATAGGCGGCACATGCACTTGAAGTACTTGCACCGGAACTTGTGCTCCTGGGAGAAGAGGACGTCCTCGCCGTGGTTCTCGCACATGGTGCACTTGATGAGCTTGCCCTCCGAAGAGCCCAGCCGGCGCCGGCTCTCCACGCAGAGGTCGCAGGCGCAGCCGAGGTAGCGGCAGTGCGCCCGGTGCGCGCCCACGAACATGCGCAGCAGGCCGTGGTTCATGCACATCTTGCAGGGCGTCGGCCGCCTGCCGCCGCTCTTGCGCCAGGCTCCCTTCACCAGCCTGTCCTGGAGGTCGAACTCCTCCACGGTGTCGGCGTCGTTCTGCATGGTGAAGCCCGTCGTGCCCTCGGCGCTGCTAGGCCGTGTAGACGGCAAGGAGGGCGGCGAGCGCGAGGACGACTGAGATGGCGGCGACCGGGAGCGAGCGGGCGCGGCGACAGCGGCGACGGCGGCGACGGCCACCCGGAGCAGGTCGCCGCGGCCGCCCCTGGCTGACGGGGCGGCGCCGCGGCCGCGCTTGACATCCACGACGGAGCGCGACACGATGCAGGTGCTGCGGCTTCGACTCCGTCGGCCGCGAGAGTCCCCGGAGCGGTGGCGGCTCCGTCCGCGGCCTCGCGCCCCGCGCCATCCCCGACCCGGCCCGCGGCTGCGACTGGGGCTGGGGCTGCTCAGACGGCTTCTGCTCCGGCTTCTGCTGCGGCTCAAACTTCTGCTGCTGCTACTGGAGCTGCGACGACGGCGGCGTCGGCGTCGTCGGCCTCTGCGTCCGTCGGAGCTGCCGACGGGGCTGCGCCTTCTGCTGCGGCTGCGGCTTCGCCTCCTGCTGCGGCTGCGGCTCCGTCTCCTGGTAGGGCTGGGACTCGCACTGCGCTTCCTGCAGCGGCTCCTACTTCGGCTCCGACTGCACCTCTTACTGCGGCTCGTGCTGCGGCTTCGCTTCCTGCTGCCGCTCCGGCTGCACGCCGAAGTTCCAGACCCCTTGGCGCTCCTCGAGTCAGAGCCGGAGCGCGGCCAGCCGGGCGGCTCCGGGGTGGCCGGGGGCTTCCTGGACGGGGAGGCGGCCTCGACGTCGTCCTTCAGGTCAGAGAGCACCACCAGGTCCGCCATGTCCCAGCGGGCGATCAGCTCTTTCTCCCTGTTGAGGGCGTCCCCAAGCGACTCCAAGCCCATGTCGTCGTCCCAGATCACACCACCTGAAAAAAGATGCACTTAATATAGGCGGAGGAGCGGCTTGGAGAGGGAAAGGGGGGGGGGGAGGAGGTGAGCCTGAAACGCCTGTAAGTAGGCAACCCGTTTAGGGCAACCCACGCGACATGGTCATCAGGGCCGAATATGTGATTAGGCACTAAATATGAGGGGTGAAACCGTTGGAACGCAGGTGTGTGCAGAGCACCGACGCACTCAGCTACACACGTACAGTCGTGCACCACTCCCCCCCCCCCCCCGCCCACCAGGCGCGGGGAGGTGTTGCCCCCTCCCCCTCCTCCCGGAGCCGCCTGAAGAGTGGGCAATTTGTGCTACAAAACACCTGCAACCTGCATGGAGGCAACCCAAACTGCACCGCCACATCAGCCGGACCTCATGCCCGCCCAACGGCATTGGCACAACTTTACCTATTTGAAGCGCACGATGCACCTCCATTACAGCAAACACCACAAGTACGACGAGCGCGACTCAGTAAAGTAAACCAGTCAACCAGTCATCCGTGAAAGGTGCATTCAGTTTTACAGTACCACCCAGGGCGGCGGTGGCTTACCTTTCGGCTTGTTGTGATTCTCGTCGAGGGGCGGTGACGCTGGCAGGGGCGGCAGGGGCGGCAGCGCGGGGGGCGCCTCCTTGGGTAGCGGCGGCATTGGTGGTGGCAGCGGCGGCCAGGGCGCCAGGGGCGGCAGCGGGGCGCCACCACCACGAGCGCGGGCGCCGCGGTCAGGGGGCTCCGGGGGAGCGGGCTCCTCCTCATCCTGCAGCAGAGCAAGGACAGCGTCAGGGGAGGGCAGGACACGGATGGTCAGGAACAGAGATGAGCACCGCGGCGTCGTCGGCGCGGCCCGAGAAACGCTCAGCACAGCAAAAGTATACCTTGAACTCGTCCGACTCGTCCCCGCTCGCGTCGCTCGCGGCTCCGGCGACGCCAAGGTCACACAGGGGGCTGCGCTGCAGGGCGGGCCTTAGCGCCCGTACCGACAGCTGGACTCGCTGCATGTCGCTGCCGTATGAAATCCACAACGATGTTATGGGGATTCGGAAACCAGCGGCCGCCGCATCACAGCAGCAGCAGCGCGCAGACTATACGCTTACAGGTTCGTAGGTCCCCGTAGGCGACATGGCTTTTATTTCTATTTTTCTTCGGCGCGTCTGTTTCAGCGTAAATGACCCGATGGCGCGACAGTATACCGCGGTCGTGGCCCGGCCCGAAATACAAAACTCGCTCGGCACCTTCCCGCCACGGAAGCCAAACTGCACGTCAGCACTTTGCAGTGTACTGCCCGCCCGTCGCGACAGGCTGAAACGCGACCCCCGCGACCCGGACAACAATCGCGTCGCGTCGGCAAATATCAGTCCAGGCCCCCCGCCCGCCGGGCCGTCCAGGCTTTGGTGCGGCGGCGTAAACAAAAGCGAGCGATCCGAATCTTGTGGAGAGAGCGATAGTTTGTGTTAGTTGAAAATTAGTGGAAGTCGTTAGATAGCTTCCCCAGTTAGAACGATCGTGTTAGAACCAAGAGAGAGGGAGAGGGCCCATGCTGAAACGACCCGTGAAAGAAATTGGTCTTACCTGAGCACAGGATTTAGGAGGAATTCTGGTTCCTGGAGCCGAAGCCATGAACCAACTGTTGATTCGCTTTTGTTTTCGAATCTGGAATAAAAATAGGGGCAGTTGTAGATAACACTGTTTCTTCGAATGAAAAGTAAGTACAGAAAGCAAAATACATTATTTAGCGTCAAGGTTAGACGGTAGACCCGAAATCTTTCTCCAAGAAATAAATGGAATCCCCTCAGGGAACATAACAGTTGTCCTTGAGATGACACTTAGTAACTATTTACTTCAACTTGAACACGGGTTATCACGGTAAACCTAAACAGGGTGTTCTGTGTCGGCGTCCCGCGCAGCAACCCCAACCTCACTCGCCGGAGACTATTCGCCTCGTCGCTCTCCGCACACGCTTATGTTTGACTTGACAGTAGGTCCAGCAGGCAGCATTTGATCGGCAGATGGGCAGGCATTGCTTGCCACGTCCAATCCTAAATTTATTTCGTGTCACACATCCATTTTTCGTGTGCGCAGGACGCCACGGGCAAACAATAACATGAAAACAAAAACAAACGACGCCTACCGGCGCCTGGCGTTTCGTCGGGATACTCACAACTCGCAAATATCAGGGGAAATGAATTCAAGTCGGCTTTTTCATTTCACTGTCTGTCTCTTCACGTCACACTGCACACAAACGTCCTTTGCTTGGTCCTCGCATGGCGATGCACGACAGGCACGAGCACAGGACCGACTGAGACTGAGAAGAGAAGTGGGAGAGTGAGGTGAAGTGAGTGACTGTGGGGCGGGCCCGGCGGGGCGGCGGGTGGCGGGGGGCGCGCGGGCTGGTGGAGGCACGGAGGAGGGGGCGGCGGCCGGGTGGCGCGGGAGTGGAGAGGGGGTAGAGGGGAGGGTGCTGTTGTGGTGGTGGCGTGGTGTCCGTGAACAAGAAGGGTGGCATCGTCCCAGGAGCCGGAGGCCGGAGGTCCGTCCCGCTGAGTTGGCACTTCCGCGTCAAAGAGCAGGAGGTGATGTGCAAACAACCCCGATATCGCTGGGGAGGCTACCACCGACACCATCGCTAACGACTCTCTTACCGGCTGGGCTGGGAGAGGAGAAAATGTGTTTTGTGGGGTTGGGGGGGGGGGGGGGGAGGCGTAGATGGATGGAGTTGCGAATCACGCCTCTCCCCCAGATGGATGCTCACGGTGGTCCGCGCTGGTCACCACCTGGTGCACGATAAAAACGGTTTTCAAAGCAAAGCCGTCGAGAAAAACCGACCATTTTCTTCGGGAACTTTACACTGCGTCTAGTTGGTTTTACCATACCAGCCAAATTACCCGGAGGGGCTAGGGGGGGGGGGGCAATAGGCTTTGCGCGGAAGGAAAGAAGGATGTCTCTGGACGGAAGACCGTGCACCCCCTGAAGAGAATGGTAAGGCAAAGAAAAAGACGGCAAACAGATCTTTATCAACGTCAATCGGCAATCTTTACCTTCGGATAGCGCAACCACAAGGGACCGTCTAAAAACCGTTTGTTTGGACCGTTTGCAATGTGGCCATGGGCCAAGGCAAAATACATATATCAGAGTCAGCACAGCCATAAGCCACTTATGGCATATGGAATGGTGCGTGGTGCGCAACTCAGTCGCTGAGTCTTTGAGTTGGGGGTTCACACGCGCGCGCGCGCGCGCACACACACACACACGCACACGCACGCACACACACACGCGCGCACACACACACACACACATACACACACACTTACCAGAGCCTGAGTGCTGGGCATGACCTGGCTCACGTCACCATAAAGTGCATTTGGTACAGATTGAGAAATCGGAGAAGAGGGTTGGGATTGGGTTGATGGAACCTTAGCAGATCCCATTCACCCTCAACAGGCCTTGGAGCGGAAGAAGCTACAAGCCATAACAAAAACAAATGGAAAAGGGGGAAAGTGGGATACAGCCAAGCCAAGAGTGCTCATTGTATGAGACCTACACTGTAAGGGTAGGGGGTAAAAACCTCTGGTTATTTTATTTTCGACCTGCTGCTACATATTGATTCCATAACTACGGCATAAAACAATTTTGTGAACAAAAAACTTTTCGATTTATTTCAATAGAGCCCGAAAGGCAAGAGGAAGGTACATAAGAACAAAAACGTCCAGAGAGCGGAGGTGCGGGTGGACACGGGGAGTGTGTGTGTGTCGGGGAGGGGGGGGGGGGAATCCGTTTCCGTTCTTCTTCCTTTTGGGCTCCATTGAACTTACCCTGTATCTATTTGTTTCGGATTCATGAGGGGTTACAAGCCAGAGCAGTAAAAACCGAACGGCCGCAGCGATATGCGGGA